ACACAGGTAATTGAACTTGAAACTTAAGTGACGTCAATTTTCTGTCTAAATTCATTGATTGAACAACTGGTTAAGTTCCTTTAGAGGAATCGCATTTGCGGTCGTAAGTTACATCCTTTAACTATACCTTACATAACTCACCAGTTTCTGCCTTTTTTTAGGTTAATCCCCATGGGTACCTAGCTTGTAGGTAATCATAGCAAAATGGAACGTACCTGAGGAAAGTCGATCTTTTTACATTCTGTTCCGGTAGTCCAAGAGTCCAGGGAAGTGGTTCCTAGTTGTGCTCCTTTTGGAGCAGATTGTAGGGCAATCCAGTTTATCTCGGCTGTTGAATTTGAGCCGTTGCTGTACTCATAGATACAAGCGCGGAATTGAGTTCCATCTGCCGATTCCAGCCAAACAGCAGCACCATTGCCACGGGCCTGGTTGTTAAGTGAGTTACCAAAGGAAGCAAAGACTTTTACTTGCTTTCCACCAGAGAACGATTCAGCAAATGTGATTGTCTCACAAGCGAACAACCCTGGACTTTTGACAGTGACGTTGGTTTTTCCAGCTTTGAAACTGATTGCTATAAGAGAAGAAAAGTGTCTTAGTAAAAGTAAGCTCCCGTTGCCTCTGGGCTATTTACGGTGGCTGCAATATTTTTTTAATAATTTCAAAACGCCTTCTACGCAATGGCCTTGAACATAGTTCAGTAGCATGCGCTTTCCTTGCGCGCCGCACCCCCGATTCCCGCGTTCTTTCTTGAAATGAATCTTTCATGAATTTTACCGTAGAAAATGACCATCAAATATCAGCATTCAAAAGCGTATTGTTAAAACATTTCAATAAGCAAATACTTCATGGTACCTTGACTTCCTTGCGCAAGAAGCACAACAGTGCATACCGCGTAGAGGACGAACGGAAGGTGTTGCTGTCCCACCATCTTGGCTTAACTGAGGAAATGCTTCCTCTCATGCGAATAAAAAGAAAGAAAAAGGTAGAACTTACGCGAACTCCCTCAGGTCCCTTTTCCTCCAAGTATTTCTCCCCTCTCACTGTTCTGCCCCTTAATGGTTTAATCCTGACGCTTTGAATAAACAGCTTCCCTTCACTTATACATCATACTAAGTATCTGTCCCAAAAAAAACGGGAATTTTTGCATATACTTACCTTATTCCTTTACCCTCCCTTTTCCTCTATAGACAACGTCTCCAACTGCATATTAAATGTTTCACTGTAAGTTTTCGCTTTAATTCAACGTTCCCGTGATGTACTATTTTTCTTTGCTAGTAAAGTGTCAAGAGTTGCTCATCTTCTTTTGTGTCTGAAATTGCAAATGTCATTGACGGTTTATTCCTTTTCTCAAAATGTGCACAGAAAATCTTGATCATCAAGAAGAAGTAAAAATAAGTTCAATCACTGCCATTCCATAGCCATACAAAGTGAATGTTTAAGAAATGCATTACCACTACGATTCCATGTGTCAGTTTTTTTCCCCTTTGTTTCTCAGTGTGTTAGTGTTGGAAGCTAAGACAAGATTATAGCGTTTAATCCTTTTAACGAATTAAGCTTCCCACAGCTTTTAAACTTTTAAATAGGGTTTGATATTTGTGATGTCTGATTGAGACCAACAAAGAAGTACTAGGAAGCTAATAAAGAAAATTGTTTCTCCAAAACTGAATAGTTTGAATTTGGATGAAAATGCATGCTGGACCATTCGAGTTCTTCGAATTCACTTCTTTTGAAAGTGATACCTAACAAGAAATCCTGCCTATGGCGAGATTAGATCGCACAAGTGGCGGTTCCAACACTAAAAAGGTCACTTTAACCCTATTCAGACTGGGGGGGGGGGGGCTTTTCGAACCCCCCCTCCGGCAAAATCGTGATAATTCCTACACCGAAAGAGTTATGACGTTCAAATTTTCTGACTTTTCCTAAAATTTATCTAGGAACATTTTGGCATAATAACCATGTCCATGTGATTAATCATGTTGCCATGGCAACCAGTTTCTGACACATAGGTTTTGGAAAATTTAAAAAATGGTGATTTTTTTGTTTTAAGATCGCGTTTTTACACTTATAGTGCTTTTCGTTGTTAAAATGGTCTTCTAAAATGGACTAGTTTTTGAATTACATCAAAATGTTTCAACATCGAATATTTGGGGGGAGGGGTGGGGTAAAATTTGTCACTTTTTTGCTTTGACAAATATGCTGCTCTATTTTCCAAATAACACTTCCAAAGTCATTTGTTTGGGTAATAAACATTAGTTTGATACTTCTTTTATACATTCTGAGCTTTTTCCCCTTTGAAAGTTGCTTTAAATTATAATTTTAACAAAAAAACGGAAATCCAAGATGGCGGATCCAAGATGGCGGACAACCATTTCAAATTTTAAATTTTATTGCTTCCTATTGCTTTTTCTCGCTGTACAAGTGTTTCCTTGTTACTAGTTCATAAGAAAGGATAACAGAGAGATGACTTTACCAATATTATTGACACGTATACGTATCTAAGTGGAAAAATAATAAGAAACATTGAATAATCGGAATGTGATGTCACTGTAACGTCATCATTGAGCGTGGCAAGTCAAAACTGGGTGTGGGGCTTTTTTGTACGGAGATGATCATTGTGTGTAAATTTCATGACCCTAGCATTATTGGTTCCAGAGATACAGAGGGGGGGGTCCGAGGAGCCCCCTCCCCCCAGTCACAGATTGACCAAAAAAGCCCAGTCTGAATAGGGTTAACGTACCTAGCTACCTCCTATTCCGTCCCCACTTCATCTACCCAGCGCTTTCAACGCAGAATTTGCTTACAGTACGCTTTCATTCATTTTTTTCTGATAAAAAAAAAACGGTTTAAAAAACCAAATATATTTTACCACCCTTGGGTTGGGGCAGTGTCATAATTTGAATGAATTGAAGTTCACGCCGTTATTCTAAGAGAAAATGTTGAAATTCCTGCTAAGGACGCTGGCGTGACTTGATTCAATCTTTGTCAGTACGCTCTGGTTCATTTTTCTTTTCGAAAATTCTAATATGTCCCTTTGTTAGCACTATATACTTCCGAATGTAATCCCAGTATATTTTCATAATTGTGTTTCTACAATAAGGAGTAAAGGAGTAAAGGAGAAGGTCATCCCTAATGACATCAAAGCCACCCGCGCTGTACGAATTGCCTGTTTACCGAGGTAATCACACGTTTCCCGATTTTTGCTTTAGTCTTTAATCTTCACTCTTTGTCTCCACGTTTTCTTTTGTATTGTACATTTTAACCGATTTTGACTCGTAAGATCATCTGACTAATCAGTTACTGAACGCTGGCACCGAAAATTCGGCTCTTGACTAAAGGAAACCAGGCAGCTTGCATTGCTTCAATTATTGTTTAATCGGGCCTCTGAGCCCTCGAGTTTTTTAAAAGAGAGAATTGGGGCCTGTCTAATCCTCTTTTTTAGTTTCTACTATGTCAAGTCACGACATAGCACATATATTGGCCTTCCTTAAAACTTTTATCCCAGTAAACCTGAGCACGTCACAAAAACGTTAATGGGAGAGGAGAGAGAATTGTGAAGGGTGGGGCTGGTTTATTAAAACTCATGCATTCTACAATCTTACGAAAGTATGAATAATGAGCAAATGACACAGCATAATAAGGTTGAACTAAGGAAGTCAATAAATATACCGTAAAAATAATCGCTATTGTGGAACAATTGGAACTTAATTTTAATTTAAAATTAAAATTGCTTCAGATTAACACTGTATAAATGCTATAACTTTTAGCAGAACGTAATTTCGTGCCAAGAAGAATTACTTGTTACTTTTAGAAAATCGACGACTTAAGAACAGTAAAAGAAAGGTGCGAGTTTAATTTAAATCTCATTTAAATGCTGTTTTAATTTGATATCACCTTGCAAACATTACTATGACCATATCCCTTGAAAAAGTTTTGTGTACGAAAGACGGAAATCCTTTATTCCTCCAGCAACCGTTCAGCAACCCTGTCATCTTATCTTCAACTCTATCCATTAGTCACGTTCAGCCCAGTCACACTAGTGTTCATGCATCGTCGACCCCTCTTCTTAAGTAACCGTCACTTTTGACACCATATTTCGTAACCAGAGCCACCAATTGTCGTCAAAGTTTATTATTTTGTGGTTCTCTGTAACACTTTGAGATCTTTTGAATCAGAGTGGTCAAGCAACTAGTAGTAATATCACGAGTTGTCTCAAAGAGCGCGGTCAAAAAAGTACACTTATTGATAAAACGCGTCTGTTTTTTTTTCCTTTTTAACGATTTCCAGTAGCTGTTTACTTATTCCTCGTTGTAAAAAAGATGATGACAACCCCATTATAAAAGAAACACCGCGGCGGTATAACGAGGCCGAGTGCAAACTTCGCCGTGCTTACAGTGATATGTTTAGGATAACAAACCCCTGTTACTTACCAGCACCTTTCTCCAGGCAGACCCCTGGTACCTCGGTTTTTCTGGATTCCAATGCATGTTTATTGTAGACTACGAGTAGTCCCCATTTTCCCCAGGGATAGTAGAGCGAGCAAAACTCGAGCGAGAGTGAAATCAAACCACGCAAGAAAGACGAGACGCACTCACCGCCGCGTCTCGCCTAGCCCAGTCTGCTGGCGTGAGATGATTTTTACTCGCGCTCACTTTTCGCTCGCTCTGCTATTCCTGAGCAAAACTGGGGACTACTCGTAGTCTAACTATATTGCTGATGGAATTATGTACCGCCCAAAATGATGCTGTATTGTGACGCGCGGATAAGAGATATATTTAAATTACTGTGCGTGCATAAAAATGTGCTTGTGTTCATTATCCCGTGCGAGACGTATTAGGCATTGTTTAAGCCTGTATAATATGTAATTATGCACAGTTGTCATTTCGCAAAGAGTTTCATTAAACGCGAGTAAATAAGGTTCTGCTCTGTCACGGCCTGCTGCCGTTTTGTCGGATGCGTTGCAGCAGGCCGCGCTTCCTTTGAAACCGCAGTCAGTACAAGATTTTGGCAATGGAGCTCAGTCAGGTGCGGCTGTCTTGGCCGGAATTAACACAAAATGCTGTAAGCTACGTGTTAGGCCTTCGAACTCCACTTCTACGCCAAGGAGAAGTGACGGTTTTTTTCTTTCGTACATTTTTGGTGCTATTTGTGAAAGCTTCAGTTTTCTGTTTGAGGAGAGTATTCATTGCCTATTACAGGGTGAGTTGTTATATATTTTTCTCCGTTTCTGCGGGTCAGCATTCTAAGTCTCGCCCGTGTTTGTTACGACTCAGGAGAATGTACTACCGCCTTTGTGATGTGGTTTGCTTTATAATTTTCAGTTTGCTTTCGCTTTATTTTTTGTTTGCGTCATATATTATTTTGGACAAATAAAACCCGGTCACCCGGCGCGTAAGCCCCCTCGGCAAAGATAATCCCAAACGATTCTTGAACAAAGTGGCAATTGCCACTTTGTTCAAGAATCTTTTGGGATTATCTTTGCCGAGGGGAGCTTACGCGCTGGGTGACCTGGTTTTATTTTTCCAAAATAATATATCGATAGTGAGTTCAGCATGTGAGGAGTTAACGCCTTTTTAATTTATGTGCTAATTATCCAAAAGACGGCAACGAATCCTTGTGAGCCACATGGAGGTTAGCGGTGGGGGCTTCGCGATCTCGATTTAAGAGTGACCGGGCATCGCTATTAGCCTGTTTATACAGTGACTGGCATGGGTATCGATTTTTATGAGTGGGCTTCTTTGGGAGCCTGTTTACGCAGCCATGTACGATGTGCGATGGGTATCTTTGTAAGTCCGATTATAAATGTGATTGGGTTTCGTTATCAGAGGCATCCAACGACCCTCTTAAATACAATTACGTTGAAAGCACTTTTTTAGGCTATTCAGAGTACTTTAAGATTAATTCTAGAATTAAATTCTAAGTGGCACTATA